TAGAGTTGCTATAAGGGGAAATGACACCATTTTGCTAGATAGTTTTTAAGGATTGTGGAAAACAGGTCTCTTTGGCGGACATTGGCAGATTGCAGCTTTAAACAATATTCAATATACTAACGCTTTTGTCTCGGATCAGATGGGCTTGACTAATAGGGAAGTTGTTCTTTTCTATTTACCAAGACATGTTTATTAGTTTATGATTGGGGTATTGAGGGCTCGAGCTGGGATTGATTAATAAGGTGAAGGTACTTAACAATATGTCAACACTATATATCCTCAGGCACTGTGCCCTGAACGTGATTCATGTGACACATGTGTTGTTCTTTGTTATAAACCAATCTCAGAATGCATTGGAATCGGGAAAATTTGCTCGTGTGGTCGGCAGACGGTTTTCCTTTCTTTGTAGCAAACCAATGGATTGCTGCGATGCAGCATCGCCATGCTATGCCCACCATTTGAACTTGAACCCTGAAAACGGTGTTTCAGTTGCGGGTTCTTCATTGTTTAGAGACGTAAAGAGGACTTGGATCGGCATTGCAATGTTTGACACTATCGACATGCACCGTTTTGATGTAGACTTGATTCCCTTTGAACATGTTTTACAATCCAAATTTGAGGGAGGTGTCCCTACATTCTGCATGAATTATCAACATGCACCTTTTTAGACGGGATCCTCGGCGGTTGGAGGCGGAGGCCTCTTACTTGGAGTCTCAGAAGGAGTACCAGCGCGCAGTGGCTTGGCAGACGTGACTTGCTGGGGAGTTTGCTGGGCAAGCTGTGACAGGAGTTGGAAGGTCGTGGAGCAAAGAAGGGAATCTTTCTTTGCCATGTGGCTTGAGACTGAATGATTCAATTGATCAATGATCAATTCAATGGGCCCGCATATGGCTTTGTCTGGCTTTGCAGGACGCACCGGCAGGTGGTTCTGGACCTTGCGATCTGAGGCTGCAGCTTGGAAGGCGAAGGAGGCCGAGGAGCAGCAATCCGTCGACCAGCTGCAGGCCGAACTCACGAACTCCGAACGCCGAACGTCGCGCGCCCAGCGGAAGATGGGTCTGAAGACGTCCACCCAGCGGAACTGGTCGGGACGATGGGTCAGAATTTAAGAATGTGACATTGCTCTACACAAAAAGGTATGCATTCTTGGTCTGTAACACATGATTCCTTTACTGTTCCTTTGACATGTTTGTAACGTTTTATTCATGAAGGCACATGGATTCGATGCTACTGCTTAACAGGGTCGGCACGCAGCTTGGCGACCTTTGTCGCTTCAGTGTCCATGCCAGGGCTTTGTGGACCAGTTCCGCATGAGTGGCATAGAATCCAAGGCCCTGGACCGGTACCGCTGGAGACAGGTGGATACGCATTCAGTAGCTGAAGCATACCAGGACCATTGGGACCATCCAACACGTTCTTCAACGAGTCCATGGGTGACCTGTTGCATGCTGCTGGTGTGGACAACCCCTTGAACAAGTCAGTTTCGAGATCTCATTCTATCTCATCGTTCATCATTGTTCTATAAGACAACCCTTCTGGACTCTACTTACTTTGCGTCAGCCTGCCAGCAGGTCCGAGTGCTTTTTTTTCTGGTCGAACATGGTGGAACTTGAAAGGTAACTTGTGGCTTGGGAAATGTGAATATTGTTTCGCATCCCGGATGATATTAAGCCTACAGCATGCAGGGGGTTAACCCTCCTACAGAATGGTCATTTGGTAGTAGAGGGGTTTGGTCGAACAACCCCTGTGGTTCTGATCCAAGCATTTTGTAGGCAGCAACAGGGTTGGGTGTATTTATTTGGTAGTGGAAGGAAAATGCAGGAGTTGTGGGATGGGTGTACTTGTTCTGTAGAGGTGGTCCCTCATTTTGCAGAGAACCATAATGAATGGATAATGATGGATATGGATGGTCAGAAACATATAGTAACATCATCTAACATCAAACAGACTTTAACTTAGAATCTATTATACTAGCCACGAGATGCCAGAACCTTTTGGTTTCATAATGAGTATTTGATTTCTGCATGGCATACCATTTTGTACCAATCAATGGCCCCCCCTTTTTGTACCAGTGGCCTAGCCCCTCTCTATAAAATGGGTCCAATTTTGTTTGAGTCATTTTGTAGGGATAGGACGTTGGTCGTGGTCATTATGTGTGATATTTACTACCAAATAGGGACCCCCACCCCTCACCCTGAATATCAACGATGATGTTTCGTGGTCCACACCTGACTCCTGACCAAGTTGAGGAGTATAGTAGTATCATAAAGAGTAATACAGTAATACATATGTTTCTACTATACTGTAATCCTCAACTACTATACTATACACTCAGGAGTGTTGTTTTTACATTCTTCTGTTGACGTCTTCCAGTTCGATCCTGGGCCCATCAATTCGAAGGCACCCCGATCCTGTCGCTTTGGTCATTCACCCTCCAATTTGAGGTCCGAGACGTGGTCCTGGGTCGACTCCCTTTTCACAGGGTTAGGAATGAACACAAACAGATATACATATATATATATATATTATTGGATATATATATATATGACAAATATAAAGAATAAGCAAAGAATCCGATGGCGGGTGCCTGTGCCTGTCGCCCGCCCGTTTGCAGCAGCGATCGAGCGGTGATCTCTGCAGGCAGCGACCTACGCAGCGGAGGCGGAGTCCCACGCCAAGCGTGCTGAGGAGTGGAGAGTGAGGAAGGTGTGGGAAAGCAGAACAGATGGCGGGGGCGATGACTATGGGAGGTTTTCCATGAGGAGTCGGGTGATTGGGTGATGCGATGACTGGGTGCGAGTCTGCGGGGTATCAGTTCATGGTGAGTTCGTTTGCATCCCCATGTAGCGAAGTTGTCAGAGTAGCTCGTGGACATTGTGAGGAGATGATCTGAGAGCTTGTTATATAGCTTGAATATCTATATATATATATTATGGCTTTAGGAGATGTCATATTTGGTCAAACATTTATGAGATGTCATCACAAGCTAAGACCACTTGACCATGTTTGACAAAATATAGTAAGCAGTTGACCCCAATGAGTGCCAGCCACTGGATCTTAATCTTGGGAGACGTTCACCTCCGCACGAAGCCATTTGATCGTGGGAAGCATCTGTTTGCACCTGTGCGGCATCGGAAAATTTTGGCAAGTTCAGAACACCGGGCCAGAGTGAAGATCAAGATGAGAACATACTGAAGACTTCAGGTTCAAGATGGTTGAAGTGTGTTACAGTCAGATTGCATTGCAGAAACCCATGTATTTCACGGTCATTTTGCTCGGCCGGCTCGCAGGAGGCTGGCCGCATGGCCAGAAAGTACTCAACTGTGGCAGAACGGATCACACAAGCTGTCCCCACGTGCGGTCCCAAGAGAGCAGGAAATCTTTCTCAATTTTTCTCATTTGGAGGAAAAGGATGTCTCAAAAAGAATCACTCCCTGTCACTGACCATGTCATTTTCCTCTACTTCTCGCACAAAAACTTGAAGTGCTGCGCAACAGTTTGTGTTTTGCCTTCTGAACTTTAACATTTGTTTGAGTGATGATTTGTGCCAACCATCCCAATCAAAATGATAGACAACATATATGTACCGTATAGCTTCTAAGTGGGTTGCAAGGCCCACCGCGGACGTGCCTTTCTTCATTGCCAGCCAGTGTGGCTGTTGATCACTGCATATCACTGCATTTGTTGCATCCCGATCTTGGTCGATTGATATTAATCTCGTCCTCAAGATTCGTTCACCGATCGTGACCCCGCAAACAGACGGAAAGAGTACTCTACCTGCAAGTACATATGGAAGTGGAAAGCCCTCCCTGTTTGGCGCTGTTTGGTCTTTGGATTTCATGCGCCTTCCGAACTCGTCGGCGCCCTCCACGTCCGTTGCCTCGTTCCAGGACGTCCGACCTCGTTCGCCTCGCTTGGACCCTCCGAGGATCAGGAAGATGGAAGACATGGCGGCCGCTCGCGCCACGTGGGTGGAGCAACCCTTGCCGCAGACGGAGCCCCACGAGGCGCGCCGCTGGGTGGGGCGGTGGGCGGGGCAGGGCGGTGAGCTTTAGGGTTTAGGGTTTGGTCGTGAAGTGCAGAGATTCTCCGGACCGGACCGGTTTGGAGCGTTCAAGTGGCTGATATGCTGTGGCTTTTGTAATGATCCAAACTCGGCCATAAGGGTCATTGTAGCCTTTGTCCATCTTTGTCCTTGTTTTAGAGGCATGTTGGGCTTTGATCTAAGTGGGAAGAGGGGTAATTATACCGGCAATCTCCTAAATCTGTTGCGCACACCTGCTTATTGTTTTCCATGCGTAAACAAAAGCATACAGAAACTTTATCATCCAATTCTTGCCTAATGGCATTCATTGTAGTTCTATCCATGTTCGAGGATGCTGATGTACACATCAAGCACTTGTGCAAACTGTCTACAGGTTAGGTGAGTCATGCTCCACTTCTGCTTGGCTCCGATCACTTTTTTGCAAAATCCCATGGACGACTTACCACAAACCCCCAACCCTCGCGAGTGTGACCGGCCGCAGTTGGTGAGCGTGACCATCGCGCCTCCACTGGCTGAACCTTGACCTGGCTTGATCGGAGACGGCACTTGACCGAAGAGCGAGTTGCAGGTCCTCGTGGCAGAGGAAAACCTTAAAGACCTTTATTAAATTTGATAGTCCTACAGGGAGAGTCCTTTGCATCCTTTTTAGTCTTAAAATTCCACCAAAAAGAGAGTTGACGTGGAAAGTTATGAAAAGTTCAGTCCAATGCCAATGTCCTTCTGAGTTGCACTATTTATTCCAAAATCAACTTACTAGACGTCTTGGGCACAGGTTATACGTTGTATTCGGATCTATTCAATGGTGCAATATACATGGGAGGGAGGTGCAGAGTCCAAACCTCGCTACTTCAGCCAGACCAGAGAGCCAGTCAGTGTAGAGCATGACATGGCATGACCATTGAAAGCATGTTGGTACCCTACCCACGATCCCAAACTCTTCAGGGTGGAGACCCATTCCAAGTCAAATGCTATAAAGATCTATAAAGCAGTGTTGTGTTTGTGTTTCTTCTCTTCTCATCTCTCTCTCTCTATATATAGGTCAACCATTTACAGTAACACCTCCATCGAGGCACTTGCCAGAGCCAGAGTAGTTCGCATCCATGTTTCACCCGCCCACGCGGTCCTCGTCGAGCAAAAGCGTCGTTCTTTTTTTCCGGAGTGGCGGCTTGGACGGCCCGTCCAGTCGACGAATGATTTGATAACATGGTCTTAATTAAGGCTGAGGCTGACTTGTGCAACTCGTAGGGAATGAGGATGGCGGTTGGCTGGATCCAAAGGAATCTCTATTGGGGGCTTATTTCCTCACTAAGCACCAGTCAGAAAGCGACCCCACAAGGAACTTCTCTTTCCTTCACTGGGGCAAGCTATGGTCGAACTGGACTTCTAGGGCCTGCCATCCTTCTTGGAGAAAAACATGGTCTGGGATGGGCAAAAAGGCCTCATTGGACCCACTGGCCCCCACCAGAGTGGGTCCACGGGGTGTGTGTCGTTGAAGGTTGCACAATGTTGGCGGAACATCTGCATCGGGACGGGTCGAACTGGACCCGACATGGATTGTGGAACCCTTAAAGGAAGTGCCAGGAGTTCCACGTGTCAGAAGTGTCAGTTCCAAGAAAAACAACAACATCTGGGTGTTTCCTCACAAGTGAAAGTGCAGGAGCTAGTTGGTCCCAAGCTTCTGTTGCCAGACCTTGAAAGAGATGTTGTTATTTCCCTGCAAAAAGACCCATTGACCATGTACTCGCTGACATGAGGGACATGTCCAGAAGTACCAAGGTCTTTGTTGGCGGTGCATCACAACAGATTGATTGTTACTCGACAATCACTTGACATCCCTCATCGTGTTGACGCTCCAAACACATGCAAATCACCCTCGGATTTCATGTTGGGAGATTCTTGATCTCCCCCAGACAGGACCCAGTCCTTCTCATCGCTTCCACGTCGTTGCGTCGCTTTTGGGACTCCGGCAAGACTCAGCAAAAGCACGACCCTCGACTTGCTTTGCAACTCGAATCGCGGTTTTGAACTGATTGCTTGGGAGCTGCCCAATCCACCTTATCATATTTTAATGAATGTCCTAAGGTAACCGTATTCTTCTCCTAAAGCCCCCTATGACCTTGTCGCCACCAAAAGGAGCTTGGACACCTTCACTCTGACAGGTTCTCATCAGCAAATGCAGCAAGTCTTGCACCAAGTCTTTCATCTTGCTTCACATCTGACCCACCCTCTCACCGTGTTCCGCCGTTGTTCGCTCCTCAGACCTCGTCCTGCAGGACCTTTGCCGCCAATTGCGGCCCGAGCTGGGCAGCGATCACGGTAAGGCGACCGCCGCCCGGAAGGCCCAGAGAATCCCAGAGCCACCGGGTGAAGCCACCGGAACAAGAAGCTACTAGGAGCAAAGGGCATCGCTATGAGGTTGGAGGCCATCGCTAGGAGCAAGAAGCCGGTGAAGGGTGGAGCTGGCATGGATCCCTTGGCAAAAAATTGGCTCTTCCGAGCGGAGCCAGCCCAAGAGATGGGAGGAGCTTGTTTCGAAAGAATGAGCTGGGATAGAGATGGCTGAAAGAAGAAGTACTTTTAGCTGTGTGATGCTGTGTGTATCATTGTGTTTGAAGCACTTGGTGTGTTGACATAATAAACTTTGTTGTACTACTCCGTGAGTCAATGAGTCGTCTTGTTTTGTGGAGAAGAGCGTTTTGTGTGACGACACAGCGACTCGGATTTTCATGGATTTTCAACTCGATTTAGATCAAATGTCTTAGCATGCCTCTTTCCCTCCCCCAAAACAAAAGAAAAACACGGATGAGTCAGCACATCCGGGTCGTGTGGTCAGACCGTGGGTTGAGACCTGGTTGACCGTCCGAGGAGGAGCTGCTGGAGTGGATTCGTCGTGGTCTAAAGGACCACAATTGGAAGAGTCTGACTGTTGGGAGCCTCAGAAAACGATGCAGCACAATGGGTTGAGCATCCAGCATTTTGTTAAAGAATGCTTGGGAGAGTAGAACAGGATAGAACTGGGACACTGGGGCTGGGGTGTTTAATCCAAGTTTTGGTTAAACGATTGCTCTTGTTGGTCCTTTCTTCCAAGGAGGGTCAGTAGAATCAGGTAGAATCATGTAGAATCACTGTGAATGGTTTCGGACGGGAGAAGTCGGGTGTGTTGCTTCCATTCAGTCCCGACCCCGGACCAGACCGAATCCAAGCTTAACCAATCAAATCCAGCGGCCCGGATGGATGTCCCCTCTGCAAATATCATCAAGTCATGTCAATTCCGAATGCAAAGGTGGGACTTGAGTAGCTTTTTCCCAGACATTGAGGTTTTTAAAGGAACCAACCTTGATGGTATTATGGTCTCAACCCGAAGACTTTCCGTTTGGACTTTCAGTCACAAAAAACACCCACCAAAAAACGCAGAACACCCGGGAACGACTGGATGAGGCATGCACCATCAAACCCAAGATTGCCGATTTGAAGTCCGCCGTCCGGAGCCCTGGAAGAGCCGAAGAGCAGCTTCGTCGCGCGCGCGCGACGCGAAGAAGACGAGCAGCGCGTCGCTGCGCGATACGAAGGGGAGAGTGCCCTGAATTGATGACTGAAAGGATTACCTTTTCTCCTGGAAAGCTTCTGCATGGGGAGAAGTTTGAGGTGCCTCAAAGTTGGAAAGCGAAAGTGTAACCAAAATTCATCGAAATGCTATATGTTTATGGAAGTGTATGGAAGAGTGGTGCCCCGCTTTAAACCTAGGAACCTGGACCATCTATGCAGACCTTCGATTCAGTTGACATACTTTGATGTGCTGGCGGTGGTGGAGAATGCAGTTCCTGACTAATATGCAAGGAAACACTGTCACTGGATTATTTAAAGCTTCCCCCCGGAAGGTTTCATATTTGGGGAGGGTTTAGATGGTCAGATGTTTCTTTACTTTGGGGGGGGGGCAGTCAATCAGGAGAGGGACCTCGCCAAGACTAAATCTCTTCATGGGGGATCCCCATACGAAATCTGCGAATTGCCTAACGATCTAAGTTTGGGTCCCCAAGTAGTTTGGTGCAGCTATGGGCACCCTTTTTCTCAGGTGTGTGAACTGGATGGGAAGCCCAACTTGGAAGGAATGGGAAGAGTCAGAGTGCTGCACATTGGATGAGGTTTTTGGTAGCTTTAATGGTTCAAAGCTGGTGAGGTAGTCTCATAGGCCTATAGGAACCATGCCTAATATGAAGAGGTGCATGCAAAACCTCATGGGAATATAAACTATGATTCATGTGTGGTACTACATGATGCGATGTTTGATGGGAAAGCTGGAGGCCATCGAGGACGAGGTGGGATACCATGAAGTGCCACATGAACAGCACCGTGGGGAACTAGGCTTCGTGTTTATTCGTGTTTCAAGGACACAGTTTATGAGATCAATGTATGCCATGAGAGGACTGAAGTACACCAGGAAGGATTTGCATGAGAAGCAAACGAGGAAGGACGACGGGGGGAGTCCATGCAGCAGGATAATTCGATTGGAATGAGCTTGATGAAGCTCAGAGGCGTGAGGGCTTTTTGCATTTGGGGGGAGATGAGATGGATGAAGCTAACAAGGATGAGTCCAAGACAGCAAATGCATCAGGCTATTTTGATTAGAGTCTGGATGAAGCTGAGAGGATTGGACAGAAGCATAAGAACATGAAGGCAACGACCTATGTGGTGGAAGCCTCTATGAGGAAGGAGCTTCTCGAAGCTAGGAAGGTAGGGGAGAAAGATTGGATGAGCTTATTGGAAAGGACAATAGAGGCCTGACCTGTGAAAAAAATATCGGGTGATTGAACAAACCAGACAAGAAAAAAACCGGGGGACCAATTTAATTAAGGAGGAGGTTGAATAGAGGGACTAGGAGGCGACTAGGAGGTGGGTGTGTGCAGCAAATGCCGCATGTGATCAGGATGTCTTGCATGTACACGAAGGGAAGAGAGAAGGGAAAGAAGGGAAGAGATCCACAACTACACACTGGCTGACCACCAAAAAAAGAGTAGTGGACCTGCATGGTATCCTGGTTGGAGGATGCATTTGCTGTACGTATCCACCAATTTGGCCAATTAAAATCGCTTGATGGGCAACGCCAAAGGCATGAGCCAGCAATGAACCAACATCAGAACAGGGGCGGTCGGAATTGAATTGGAGGAGGGTTTTACATTGTCAGTAGGACCATCTGATGAGGGATTGGTGAAATCAAAGGAGTGTCGGACTTGAATTGGACAATGGGCGTTCTTTATTGGCAAAAAAGGACCATAGGATGAGGGATGGTGGAATTAAATGGGTTGATTAATAACCTTCCATTTGGAGAGAAAAGTCTCTCCATCTCTCTCCATATGTTGCTTTGACGAATCAAGAGTCTACATTAACCTTTACATTGATTTTCCAAGGGCCAAGTTGACATTCTGTCCAGTGTCCGGCGAGGTGCAAAAAGAACTGAGAAGGGTTAGTGGTGTGTTCCTTTTTGTTTGAAGAGTTTGAGATGACTGAGATGACCTTTAAAGAAGATAACATGTACATTTGCAAGGGCTTTTGTGCGGAACAGCTTCCCGAACCTGGAATCCAGATCGTCATGGACAGTTTGTCGTCAAGAATCGTGGACGCGGAAGGATGCTCCGAAACCTGAAACAAAGCAGAAACTAACAGCGATTGCAGTCGGAGTCCGACCTAGTATAACCAACACGCGTAAACTATACAGCTCACATCAGATCACATTGCTCGTGGAAGTAACTTTCAAGAACCTTGTTTCTATAGCGTCTCGTTTTCCATCGGATCCCAAATGATTCTCATTGTCTTCCCCTCTCCATGATCTAGTCTTTTGTGCGCTCCGGGTGCTGAGCTGGTTTCGGACTCGTTTGAAACCGAACGCAGCACCCAGCCCAGGTCAAACAGCTGTCCAACGACGAAGTCCTGGGTTTCGTGAAAGGTCTGGTGGCACCTCGGCATGTGGCGGCGGTCGGTGAACCTCCTCCCAAGTGGGAAGAATACCCGAGCAGGAATGGGAAACTGGGCCACGGAAATTGGATGAAATTGGGAGGTGATTGTCATTTGTGCCGAAAGTATCGGAAAGTTGATTTCATCCTGTTCTTGTTTGCTTTCCTAATTTCATGGATTT